AATGGGGGCAGGCTTTTAAGAGGAGGCTGAATTCAGAGTTTGTGACTTATTGTCTAATGCTGAGATTTGGGGTGTGAGTTATACACCTCCCCTAGGTGTATATGAGAGGCAAACAGGCTTGCTTCTTTTTGCTTTCAATGCTTTTGCTGTGTTCAGCCACCATGAACTATTGCCTCTCTGCCATGCCACCCTGCCTTAGAGGCAGCCTAATTATGGACTGAAACTTCAACAAACTGTGAGCTAAAATAGACCTTTCTTTTCTTAATTTGGGGTGTTGGGTATACTTTGTCTCAACAGTGAGAGAAAAGTAACCAAGACTCATCAATACCTGTCAAGCTTTTAATGAAACTGAAGGGGAAGAAGTACTCCCAAAGTCATTCCTGGAATCTACTAACTATTCTGATTTCAAAACAGAGAAGGTTCTAACCAAAAAAGAGAACTTTAGGCCAATCTCTTTAATGAATATAGATGCAAAAATCCTCAACAAGATACTGCCAAATAGAATAAAATGAAACATCAAAAAGATCATACATAATGACCAAATAGGCTTCATCCTACATATCCAAAGATGGCTCAACACAGTCAAATCAATAAATATAATATATCGCATAAAGTGAATCAAGGGCAAAAATCACATGATCATCTTCATGGACACAGAAAAAAAACCTTTGACAAAATCTAACATGCTTTCATGATAAAAACACTTGTTGGGAGGGAAGTTGTCTACACTTCAGGTACCTAGGACAAGACCACTGTCTCTCATGAGTTTGACAGTTTCCCATGAGAAGTGTGCACAGTTCAGGAGCTGAGGCATAGTAACTTCACCTTTGCTTGAGATAATACAGATGGTTTTCGTTATTTCTTATTACCAGTTATGTCCCATGTAACCACCAAGACACACTGACTGTTCTGCTAATAGATTAGATTTCCTTCCTGTCCCAGATTCTACCCTCCCCTTAAACTCTCCATAAACTTATTCATATGCTGACTGTAATAAATGTGCTGCAGGTGCTGGGCAGTTCTTTTTTCCCATCAGAAGAAAGGGTTCCATCTGACCTTAGCTTTTGTACACTGACTTCTATGTTTCTCTGGGAACAACTCTAAGCACATTTAATCTTTGACAAAGGGGCCAAAAACAAAAACTGAAGGAAAAAAAGCCATCTTCGTAAATAGTGTTAGGAAAACAGGCTATCCACATGCAGATGCTTGAATCTAGACACATTATCTCTCATCGTGAACAAAAGTAAATGTTAAAACAGAAACACTTAACACGCTGGAAGACAAAGTAGGTAAAACTCTTGAAGTCATAGGTATAGGCAAAAACTTTCTGAACAGAACACCAGCTGCACAGAAAATAGTACCGAGAATCAACAAATAGAATCATATCAAATCCAAAAGCTTCTATGCAGCAAAAGAACCCACAACCAACAGAGTGAAAAGTCAACCTACAGGAAGGGAAGAAAATTTTGCGAGCTCTTCCTCGACAAAAGATTCATATGTAGACTACATAAAGAAATAAAAAATATTAGAATCCTCACCCTCAGTGAAAGCTCAATCAAAAAATGGGCAAAAAATGTATGGAAGAACTACAAATGACCAATAAATATATGAAGAAATGCTCAGCATCACTGGCCATTAGAGAAATGCAAATTAAACCAACATGAGATTCCACCTTATCCCAGAAATAACTGCCATCATCAAGAAATCAGTAATTACAAATACTAGAGAACATGGAAAAAAGAACCTGTAATGGTTAATAAATTGTGTCAACTTGGTTAAGTTTAGAAACTTAACTAAGTAACTCAGCAGTTCTACATCCTAAGGTGGAGAGGATATGTCCTGGTACAGCTGTTTACACTCCATGATGTTGTAAAGGTTGGTCACTGTGTCAACTAGAACTGTTTAGAAATTTAACTAAGTGACTCAGCAGGTGGCCAGGGTCCTCACTTTGTAAAACATCCTGAGCCTGTGCAAGAAGGGGAGGGCACAAGATGGTATGAGTGCTATGCCCATCCCAAGGGCAGGTAGCAGGCTTACAAGATAAAGGAGGAAAAGAGACTTGCTTTCCCACTTTTGTTTTTGCTAATTTGGTGGCTCTCCACCACCATAAATCTGATGTCCCTCTATCATGCAACCCTGCCTTGGAGTCAGCCGATTTCTTCCTTAATTTTGGACATCAGATATTTTGTCTCAGCAATGACAGAAAAATAAGTAAGACAGAATCCTTCTATATTTTTGGTAGGAATGTAAACTAGTGCAATCATTGTGGAAATCTATGTGGTAATTCATCAAAAAACTAAAACTAGAAATTCCATTTACCCAGCTATTCCTCATCTAGGTGTCTTCCCAAAAATATTAAAGGTATCATATTATAGTACGCATGCATATCCATTTTTATAGCAGTACATAAGCTAAATTTTGGAAGTTGCCTGTTTGTCCTTCAACAGATCAATGGATAAAGAAAACGTGGTATTTATATGTAATAAAGTACTACTCTGCCACATGGGAAAAAAAACTGTCTTTCATAGGAAAATACATGTCTTGAAACCATAATAAGTAAAATAATGCTAACACAAGTTTAAATATCAGACAGTTTCTCCTACATGAGAAACTCAAGTATACCTATCTATAACGAGAAGGATAAAAGACGATAGGAAGCAGGGAGACAGAGCTTTCTCAAAGGGAAAGAGAGCAAAGGGTGGAGAAAGGAAGGAAGGTAAAGAGAAACACGATGAAAGAAGAATTAAGGATAGTATTTACATGTACCAACTTTCCACAAAGAATGTAAACACTATGTATTACAAACATGTACTAACAAACAAGGCATTCTAATAAAAGACAATATTAGACTTACTAGTACATTATTTTTGCACTATACTGCAGACACTTCAGTGCTGATTTTTAAACTCAGACACTCTAGAAACAAAGTATATGATTACAGAAATAATAAAAATGGAATGTTACTGGTCTTCAATATAATTATTTTCAAGGATTCATAATAGAGATTTTTTTAAATTTTATTTAAGAGGAAAAAGAGAAAAACACAAAACAAAGCAAAGCGGTGTAAGGGTACACGTAATACAGAACTACAAAAAAAAACACATAACAGTAAGAAATCACCTGTTAATAGATTACATATTATCATCTTGAAAATAGTTGCTCAAATCACAGTATCAAAGAATACAAAGTGGACATTCAAACAGGGAGACTGCAAACAGCTGTGTTCAATGATCCAAAAACATTAATATAGTCAGCTATTTAACACCCCTAAACACACTTGCTGTTATATCCGTTAGAGCTCTTTTTTTTTTCCCCTCTCTTTTTTACAACAAAATTTACACATTTTGGATTTTATTACTCCTTAGTTCTTATTGCTTTTTTGGGGCGGGGGGAGAGAATACAGTCAAATATGGCAAAACAAAGCTGTCAGTCAAAACCGAGGATAGACATAGCACATGGTGTAGAACAGAGTAAGAGATGTTAACAATAAAACAAGCACATTAAAGAATCAATATTGCTCTACAAATACGAGGCAAAGTATCTGAAAAATTTTTGAACTTTAGCTCATATCAATGTTTATTATTACTAAAATTAGCAAAATATAATTATTACAATTAGTAAAACTGACACTTAACATTTAAAATCTATAGTATAAATAGATTTGAATTTGGTTATACTAAGATTTAGTTTTTTAAATAAGTCATTAAATGTTTAAAATTTAACTACATTTACTGTAATTGACAGGTGAAACTATTACCAATTTTAAGTCAGGTAACAGATACATCACATTTTTCTCTTTGGTAAACTCAGTTTTATTTTAATGTAATTTTGCAATAATACGTGCATATTATATAATATTCTACTATGCATATTTATGAACTATCATTTCACAGAAAAAACTGACTATATTTTAAGAGTTTCATTCCTTTATTAAAAATTATGTTTTGTTAAAACCAATTTTCTACATGGATGTATATCTCTAATTGTATAATAGGAATCAACATAAAAATATTATTTCTTACATACATACATCTATAGTAGTCAATTTTTATTTGAGTTTTAAAGACTTCAAAATATTTTCAGAATAACACTCTTTAACTTGCCAGTTACAGAATTATTTTCACAATCCACAACTAAAATGAAGCCTATGATGAAAAAAGCAAATTCCAATGTACTCTTAACATTTAGATAGATACTGATTTAGATAGATGCAAGATAGAACTGGCTAAAAGTTCCCAAAAGTGCCCATGTCATCACTTAAACACAAGACTACCTTGAAATCTACTTTACCAGATTAATTAATCCATTGCTTTTAATCTCAGGTGCCCTCAAAGCCTCAAACCAGGAGCCAAATCTAGACCAATCATCAGCCACAGCACAGCACACATAGCTAAGAGTCCATATAATTAAAGTAACATATTTTTAAACTTTAAAAATCCTATTATCCAATCTTTCTATCTGCAGAACTACTGAACAGTTTTTTAGCAAATGCACTATACTGTAACTTTTAGAAGGAATATGATATAAAGGCAGAAAGAATATGCTCTTATTAATTTTCATTAGCATCAAGAAAATTGCCTGCCAGTTGCAGCTTGAAGCATGCACTTATTTCAAGTAGTTTAATAAAGAATTTGCCAAACTCCAAAGTAGGAATTAAATATCTTAGGAAACTCTTGGTTCCTATTAGTGTATAGATATTGTGGATAAACAGCTCATGAATTCGGTGCTGAAAGTCTGACACTAAAAATTAAAGTAACAATTATAACAGCCAATATGTTATCTTATTTTTGGTTTGCTCAAGACCTTTCATACATATGATTCCAGAGGATGTAGACAAGCTAGTTCAGGAGCCACTTTCTAGGTGGCGTAAATAATGTATGCAATACACAAAGCCAATTAGGATCAAAATTCTGGCCGTGGGATCTGAGGGTTCAGTGCTCTGTAAAAACAGGCTGTGCCATTTCTAAGAATGATATATGCTTTCACATCAAGTTACTTACTTCAGCACTATTCTGAATAGAAGAGCTGTTGTTATAATGCTAAAATTTGAGAAGATAACAGCCATGGCCTAGAAAGAAAAAGAAGACAGAGTTACAATTCAAACAAAGTACTGACCTCAGAAATCTCCCAGCTTGCTAGTTCAACTGACAAAAAAGCTTTTCAGTCAAGACCAGAAGGGTTATTGGGGCAGCTGTTTCACTAGAGGATCAAATTCCATTTTTATTGCTTGTTAAATTTATATAGATATGATCAAATAATTATGCAGGGCTTGAAAATATGTGCTTCAATTCAGACCATGACTGTATAAATATACTGTATGTATGGCTATGGAAATACTTTTAAATTTTGAATGTTTAGGACTAGAAGTAACAGTTACCCTGCTTATAATACAACTTTTTAAACTCTCAAACTATTTTACAAACATTTAATCCTGCTTCTGCAGGTAAACAGAAGGCTGGTACTTCTAGGCTTATTTATATCAGAAGAAAATTTAGGCAGATATTCAAGCATCTTTACAGTCCTAAAAGGCGAATGGATTTTCTCCCTTGAAATGACATAGTTCACTATATCGGTTCTACTGTTTTGTTTCTATTGTTTTGTTTTCTTTTAATATCTTTTAAAAAAAAGTGTAGTACAAAAAAAAAGATGTAACTCAAAGCCAAAATCACATTTGATAGTTCTTTGAGTTGATTCAAATTATTCTGAACACTTAGAATCATGCTAGCTATATTTTAGATGAATATTAATCTGAAAATATGCATATTTTTCTGAAAAAGTATATAATGTTATCACTGTGCCATAATTGGATCTGGCAATATTAATACTTAGCATCAATTATTCCTACCTCCTTGCTATCACTTCAAGTTGATTAAATGCCAGAGTATTAAGTCTTACAATCGCAAATATGGCTAATACACAGTTAAAGAAAATAAATAAATACTATGAAAATAAACAATATTTTCAACAGTATAACATTGCTGCTTTTCTATTGAAAATTTTATACATTGAAAAATTCTGACATGACTGTATGTTATTACCGAGTACAAAGTGTGATAACTTGATAGAAGCATATATTGTATTATGATTATATCAAAGTAATTAGAATTTCTACCTTTTTAGCAATTCATCATTTCTTTGTGTTGGGTGGCTCTGCATTGTTTTTCAGCATATGCCTCTGTAAGACAAATGCTTGCACATCCCCAGTTAAGAGACAAGTAAGAAAAGACTGAGGAAAGTGACTGATGACAGTAGGAAACTAGTGACCCAGAATAACACTAAGGCAGTACAAATACACCTATCCTGGTTAGGTTGATTAATTTTGCAAATGCTTTCCATGTAACACTATAAATAAATCAAACATCTGAACTCTTTGTCCCCAAAGTCCCATGTATCTCTCCATAAATAGATTCAAAATACAAATATGTAGAGTATACCATGTATTTTATAGTATCTGCGGGTGTACAGAATCAGGAAGGAAGAGTAAAGCAAAAAATAGAAAAGGAAATTGCAATTCCATTTTGATACTGAGGTATAAAACAGGAAAGGGGTATAAATATAAAGGTAATCTGCGGGATACAAAAAAATACAATGGAAGATATGGCACTACAGGGTTCTAACAACTTCACAAAGGTGGACATTATCTGCCATAAACATGAACTAAGATTAATAAAATCTACAAGAATGGGAAGGGGAACTAGAGTAGGAAGGAGGAGGAGGAAAGGGGATTAGCAAAAGAAATGAGCTGTATTATGTACATGTACCAACTCCCCAAGTGGACTGTAAAATGTATGTACTTCAAATATGTACTAATAAAATAAAAAAGTGCAAATAATATTTATTAAATGTAAATAATTATGCTTGCTGGATACGGGAAAAGTGGAAACAACAATTTAGGAAGGACACAGTCTAGCTGGACTAGGAATTTACTGCCAATATGGATCACATGGTTGGAAGGACTTCAGGTGATCGAGTGGCCCAGGTCCCTGACTTTCACCTGTAGTATTATTGTTATTATTATTATTATTCAGATGGGGTATCTGAAACTTAAGGTTGCTGGAGCCTGCCGAGTTACACAGGTTCTAAACTGTGAAAAAAATGTCAAACTCCTGTTTCCCATAGAAGCCCTCTCATCCTATTCTAAAACTGATTTGGTTATACTTCAGGGGTCTCACATAAAGGACTGGTCATAATAAAAACCCTTTTTATAATCAAAATGCCTATTTTTACCTTTTAAAGAAGCTTAGAATGCATTTTGGTAATAAAGGCAATAAAAATCACCATTTCCTAAAACATAAGAGGGAAACATACACGTGACCAAAACTGAGTAATTGTTTAAGACTTCAATTCTGATTACTAGTGCTTCCCAAACTGACACAAAAAATTTCAAGAGAGGTAAGATTATCAGTTATAGATGGCTTGTATAATTGGGAGTACACAATTCTACCAAAGAAACTGCTAGTTAAATGGTAAGATTAAAAGACAAAAACTATACAAATAAAAAGTATAAACTACATTAAAACAAATATGAGAGAGAGAGAGGTCCACTATAATCTTTTAAGTTGCCAGGGATTTAGCTCAGCGGCATAAGTGCCTACCTGGCAAGCGTGAGGTTGTGAGTTTAATCCTCGATACCAAAAAACAAAAAAAAATCTTTTCAGTTAATCATGCAAGTCTGCTTGGAGGCCTTAGATGCTGAGATTTAGCCTAGAGCTTGGAAGTGGGATGACTCAGAAAATAAGGATCCTGATTAAGTCCACAGATTCCTCAGCCAGGGAGCAACTCCTATACAGCAGAATTTACTACAGTAAACTTCAACAGTGAGCAGACCTGACAAGCCAATCAGTAATTCAGGTTTCAGGTAATTCTGCAGAAATTTCAGGAAAGCCAGTGAGGGCAGCAAGAAATAAAGTCCAAAAAGAAAAGATAAAAAAGAAAGATTAGTTCTGGGACTCATTTTTCTTTCTCATCTTTTCAGTGCTATTTCTGTCATATTTACTTACAGGCTGAAGGTAGGATAGGACATAGAAGACAATCAAGTTATCCAGGAAATAAAGAAAAGCAGGAATGGACCACTTCATGAAATTAGAGAATTCCTTCCAAGAAGCACATCTCAAATTTCTACTTTGATGATCTTCTAAAAAAAGAAATTTAGGAATAAATAAATAATCTTGATGAGAATGCTTGTATTTTTGGAGAAAGTACATTACATTTGATTATACATATGCGCCTTTAAAAGGTGCTTTATAAATTGCAATCTGTAAGTGACTACAAGGCTAAATGAACTGAAGATAATACAGAATTTTATTAGTCTGTCTCTCACCTATTTCTGCGTCCTGTAACCAACAATCAGCAACATCTTTATGAATACTGATCATGCTAACTCCTGTTCACCTAAAGCAGCTGAAGTATTATTTAAGATGACTCAGAGCTACTACTCTGAAAGCATTGGAGCAAAAGGGAAATAAACATGACAGAATAAACAGGAAAAAATATTAAGTCTTCATGCTGCCCTTCCCTCCCAAGAGATCAGCAAATCGCAATGTTTATATGTGGACCTAGAGACATTTAACAATTAATAATCCTAGCATGAGTTATTATCTCCACTCTAGATTTTTAAAGGCTGAGCAATATATAATGTAAAAGAATATAAGCCCTGCAAGTAATGCAATTTTCATGACATTAAGAAATATAATCCACTAACTGAAACTACATAGAACGAAATATATTCCACTAACAGAATCTCTGCACAGATTATGAATCTCTGTTGAGTATAAAAATTAATGCTTTAAATTATGTTTACCTTGTATGAAAAGAAAAAGGTAGTGAGCTGAGGGTACATAACTGAGGAACTGAGGTGGAGAAGTAATAATCACTGAGGTGGTTCCACAAAAACACTAACACTGTATATCTGAAGAAGGGATTAGTATGCCTATGCAATAGTTCTGCTCAGAACATAATCTCTTTGACTCTAGCATACCACACTGCCTTTCACATAGGAAATTTGCTTTCCTCTTGCAATATAATATATATCAAATCAAACAGCAAAGTTACCTAGAAAATCCTGAATTTGAATTAGAATTACTTGGTGTGTGAAACCATTATAGACACAAGTGATGAGCAGGATACTGGGAAATACAGGATGGTTTCCTAGCTTCGCCCCTTCCAATGCAGCTCTGTATACCACTTTCTTCACCTGTTTCTTCACCTTTAAAACATACTTAAGTTTGTGTCTTAGGTCCCTCATGTATAAAATTAATCAACTAAACTAAATGAAATAAAATGTTGTTTGCAGTTGTAACATTTTTCAATTCTGTGATTTTTTTAGTAGGATTGAGTACCATTTCAAGACTCACCTTTCTTTATAACATAGAATGATACAAGCACACAGAAAATGAACTTCACCAGTTCTGAGCATATATTCACAGTAGTTGGAAGGTAATCATACTTGTTCTCTGAAATGTAACAGAAATGTTGTTTTAACCATAAATTTTACTTTGTATGAGTATAATATAGCTAATAATTTATAATTGTTTCAAACCTTAAAAGCTGATTTAGCAGGGTGTGGTGCTGCATGCTTGTAAAGACAGCACTCTAGGATGCTGAGGCAGGAACATGAGAGTTTGAGCCCAGCCTGGGTATCTCACCAACTTAGTGAGACTCTGTCTCAAAATAAAAAATCGAGAAAAGACCTAGGGATGTAGCTCAGTGTGAAAGCCCTGGGTTTAGACTCCAGTACCCCACACTACCTGCTCCACAATTTTGATTTATCCGAGCACTCAGGAGGCTGTGTAGGAAGATTGCAAAGAGTTCAAGGACAGCCTGGACTACAGTCTGAAACTTTCTTTTTAAAAAAAAAAAAAAGTTATATGAAATTTCTTCCAGTTGGGTTTTCTCTCTTTTTTGTTGTTTGTTTTTGGGTTTTCTCTTTTGAATTTCTGTATCATTTCATCCAATGTATTAGCTTCTCACATTCCACTTACCTTTACTATCCTTGAGTTTGGTAAACATACTCATGTTTTCATTCGTTACTAATAAACCTGTTGAGACTAGGACCAAGCTCAAAGAAAGCTCTCTGGCAAGACATTGGATTGCCTTCTAAGTAGACCATTAATCAACATTCAGCATCTAAATCATCAAGCAGTTTATGAATATTATCAGCTGAATTAATGGGCTATGACTTTTCTGACATGTATGCCTGCTAAAATCAAGGTACATTTTATATTTCTTTAATCCACAATTTGCTATTTTATTTCATGTCATAGTATACACAGCAAACATTACTATTTTTTGATTCTCTGTGATAAACGATACATTGCACTAAAAGAAAAAAGTCACCTGAAGCAGAGAAAACTAGCAACTGGCACAAGGTTTTACCACTTCTAGGTCTGAGAAAAATACTCTCAGGCTTGCATCTAAACCCACTGATGACCTAAGATGTGGCCTAACTAGAAAGTCAAATGAATTAATTAAGAAATAAGGTTTGGTTTAAATGCCTTAATCTTAACTGTTACCTGTTTTTTCTAATTGTGTATAAAAATGCTTTATAATTTTGCCAAAGACAAATAGGAACTTAATTGGGTACAACTTTCAAGAACGCATTTGCTTTCCTTTTGAAAACAGTCCATCTATTGGTTATACCATCCAGGCACAAGACAACTTGACATGCTTTTTCCAGAACACTTTTTCTTTCTCTTTTCTGGAATTTCCTTTGACCTTGTCAATCTACGCAGAATCCTTGATTTCTCATTCCTGTCACACAACCTATAAACATCAGTAATAGTACTTTTTACATTGTACTAATTAGTTTTTATGCAAACACCTTACCCTTTAAATGTAAGTTCCTTAAGAGAAAGGGATCAGGTTGGTTACCCTCGCACATCTGTATCTTAGTGTCCTTCATTTAATGCTCTACCCATTTAATAAATGTACACCTGATTTTAAATATTTGCTCAACTTTTCCCATAATTTAAGCCTAATTAAAATATTTCATCCTTTTTCTGAGTACAAATGTAGACTTAAGTTATAGTCTGTCATGCTTAAATGAGATGATGATCTTTTACCCTGATACACACGTGAACAAACATGTACACACAAGAATCAGGGCTTTGGATTACACTTTCAAACTCCTGTCAATGTTAACTGGTTCTTTCTGGTATTCCTCTCACAGCTAATCCCAAACTGTGTGAGTACGTGTGACTTTGGTCCACACATGTCTTAACCACACATCGTATCTACAATGCATCCAATCTTACTGTTCTTCCTCCCAGTTATATAAAAAGGGGCTATGGCCCTACTTTTACCCATTTTTTCTTTTTAAAACTTTCCCTTTTTAGGTACTACAATAAACATTCCTTTTTGACTTCACTTTATCTCCAGTAGCTTTCTCTCTAATAACTGGGTTTGTTTTCTTATTCTACAAACAATTGTAAATATCTACCTGAGGAGTGAAATTTAAGCTATCATCCCTTTCTAATGCACCTTCTTCTCTCCATAGAATGGTACCAACATCATCTCCCCCTTCTAACAAGGTCCCGTCTTCAACCAGTGTGGTTTCTGATTCCACCACTACTTAAAACGTACTTTCTGAGATTATTAAATCTAAAGGGCATATTTTAATCCTCATCCTGATGTGACAATTCTTCCTCTCCAAATTTTCCTGTCTTTCTATGAGTTATGTACATTTACTTCTCTCATGTCTCTAAACAGTTTCTTCTTCATGTTCTAAACACTGGCATACTGTTTAAATGCTGCCATTCTTTAAAATTTGTCAGTTATCTGATTCTGTATGAGTCCTCTGTTTCTGGGGTTTTAAAGATAAATTTAGTATTAATGTACACAAATCTATATTCTGGAACATTTAATCTGTTTATAAATATATCCATATTAACTACCTCATACCTACTCATTTCATCGGTATCTCCTTCAAGTACATGATATGTCAGACTTTGTAGGAAATTTCAGTGAATAAAGACAGTTCCCAGCCTAAAGGACAGCACCTAGCTAAAACTGTGATTTCTCCAAACTTGGTCCAACCTTCTTTTCCCATCTCAACTGAAAGCATTATCAATCCACTTATAACTCAAACCACAAACTTCTTTAATCCCTACGTTCCATACATTCAGTAACTGTCCACTCACATCTTTTCTATGTTCTGATATTTTTCTTTCCCTTCCATTCCTTCCACACTAAATTAGTCATCGTCTGAGGACTGAGTTTGCAACAACTTCTTAATTGCTAAGCTGTTTCCAATCTTGGGTTTTACCATCCAACTACCAGTGTAGTTTACTTATCTTCCTGTTTATAATCTTCAAGAGTTCCTTACCCTACAGACTCTAAAGCCTATGTAATAAAGCATGGCATATGAAATCCTTAACAATCTCACTGTTACTTTCCTGTCTGGTCAAGTACTCCTTCTCTCTCCTATAGGTCCTTAAACTTTTTATCAATAATTCTACATTGTAAGTTCACACAAAATATCCTGCATTTATACCTCTGTTCTGCATCGTCAAAATACTTCTGTTATTGCACTTTTTCTAATGTGTTTTTATAATGTATTTACACGTATGTCTCTTCTAATAAACTGAGTTCTTAAGCACCAAGTCTATCTCTTATGCACTTTGAACTCTTTTACTATTCACCTAGGGCCTGATAGGCACATGTTAACTTTAGTTGAAACTTACATATACGTGTTACTTCCTAAGCAGATCATTAAGTATCATGATGTCATTTTTTTCATTAATTTTTCTTTCTTTTCTTTGAGGTACTAGGGATTGAACCTAGGGTTTCTGCATGGCAGGCAAATGCTCTACTACCAAACCAGACTTCTAACCTGATGTCACGATTTTAATGTGTTGTCAACAGTACTAACAAAAAGTACTCGATAGCTTTATGGAATTGAAGTATTTACTTAAATCGTTACATTAAAAAAAGTTCTTGAGTGGATAATTCCAAAGTCTTCTAATATGTACTATCCTACTGAAACACAAATTACAATAGTAACTCACAAATGCCAAGTGACCAAACATATTCTCCTATTTCAAAATAGGCAGAAATTATACATTTTGCTATAGGCTCAGCAATTCCTGTTGAATGAAGCAGTAATCAGATGTTATCATACATTCCATACAAAGGGTCTTAATTTTGAATCTGAGTAACACAAATTTTACCCAGTTTCAAAATACTTCCTGCAGAAGAACGTTTAAGTAAAATTTAAACAATACATGTGATGCAAGTATTTCTTAAGGTATTATCATCTCCATTTTTAACTAAGAGACAGGAAACAACGCGCAAGAGTTCCATATGTATTCTGCATATCAACTTACCTTCATTGGCAGAATATTTTACTAGTAAGATGCGACTTGAGCTTAAACCAACGAAGACAGCACCAAGCAGGAATGTATACATGGTTGTGAACCACAGACCAGGACGCCTACAGCATTTTCTTTCCATTTCCCTGTTATTTAATTGCCTTAAAAAGAAGAGCACTTTCATAAGTAACTCTTGATGGCAGACCTAATGATTCTACGGAATGCAAATACTACTGACTACATAACAGAAAAATAACTTTTTTAGATATTTGGTTATGACTGTCTGACTAGTACAGTTCAGGAGTATAGCAGCAACTATACGAAAAGGAAATGACAAAGTCAAACTCTAAATAGGTCGGGGTACTCTTGAGACAAGAGAAGGATACGTTCAGAAATGACGACAAAGGTAGCAAGTGAGGAATGGGCACTTAGGGACTGCAGGAAAACAGCTGTGCATTCTCATTGGCAACTCTGATGTAAGAGAAAAGGATTCTGATCCTGTATTTTTCCTCCTCAGTAGCAGCGCTTCTTGAGCTTGTTGGGAAGGATCACGTTACAAGAACCAAAATGGAAATATTTGAAACTCTGCTGTTAAATTTTACTTAATTTAAACAAAAGAGCTTAACCTTGGGGCTCAAGCAGTCTAAAACGCTCTCTTGACAAAGTGAGGACAAGAAATCCCACGCAGGGCTTACCCTGCTCCAAACCTCTCCGTGTACCCGCATGAACGACCCAAAGTCCATATGGACAGCAAACCGTTGCCAAATTCACAATTAAACTGAGCGCTGCGCGGTACACCAAAGAGACAACGCCCCTTCCCGGGGAGACCAGGTTTCCTAGCCGGCATCTCCGCACACATGCGCAGTGGGCTTCCCATCGGCGCGCCCCCACCTCCTACGCACGCGCAATAATTTTCCGCAAGCGCGGTTACCTCGCTCCCTCAGAAAATCTAGTGGAAGAGTGCACATCGTAGGGCTGGGACTATCTAGCTCTGTAAGAGCAGCAGTAGCTTTTTAGGTTCCATAGGCAGGGGAGCTATGAGAGAAAAACAAAGGCGAAAATCCTGTATGCCCAGGTCTGCTATTCCGGAACCAAACGCAAAATACGGGTCCTACTGGGAAAAGCGGCACCGGAGCCTATTACGCAGGCGCACTCAGTGTTACACTTCCGGAGGGAGGGGGGTGAGTCGGCCGATCCCGCCCAGCGCCGGCCTTCCCGCGTCACGTGAGGGGAGTGAAGTGTCACGTGAGGCCCAGGTGGCGGAGCTACGGCGAGGGAGTGAGAGGAGGAAGGGGAGCAGGAAGGGTTGCGAGTGAAGCAAAAGGGAGAGAGACCGCTCCGGAGAGGGCAAGGGGTGCCTGTGCATCCGCCTCTTCCCCAGCTCTCCGTGGCCCGGCCACCGTACCTCACGGCCAGGTGACAGCTGGGACCGGCCCGCGTGCGCTGGCTGGGGCGCGAGCATCGCGCAGCGCCCCTCCCCCTCGTCCCGTCCGTCCCGTCGCGTCCAGTCCCGAGCCGTCGTACTGAGGGTGCCGCCGGCTGGGCGCCGATGCGAATCGTCCGTAGCGGGAGCAGTTCTTGACTCTCCCTTTCCGCTGCCTTCCCCACCCTATCGCGGGGCCGGCCGCTGCTCCGGCCCCAGGATGCAGAATGTGATTAACACGGTGAAGGGAAAGGCACTGGAAGTGGCTGAGTACCTGACCCCGGTCCTTAAGGTAAGCCGGGCCGGCTTGGCAGGGGCTCCCCGGCGCCTGAGAGGTCCCCTGTTCCAGGCTGGGAAGGGGGCAGGGGTGGGCAACAACGAAGGCGATCCCCCACCTTTGATCTTCACTGGCTGGTCTTTAGGGCTTCCTGACTCCGCGGGGGTAGCGTTGGAGCCACCCTCAGTGCCAGCCAGTGTTGCTACCAGTCATTACTCTCTCCAACTGGGTACGCCGGATTTCCTGGAAGTTATTAAATGTTAGTGCACAACTAACATTTAAGAACGTTAAATCCTAACGTGCATTTTTTGCTTATTAATTTAAAAAATGAAGTCAACTTTGGTAGCAAAATGACTTGTCACTTTTTTCTTCCAAGTTTTATGGAATATCCCTTAAGTATCAAATAGGTATATTGTAATTTAGGTCCGAACTAGTTTAGATTTCAGAGGAACAAAGTGAAATTGATAACACTATCTCAGTAACGTTAGTCCCAGATAAGTAGCAAAGTTTCTTTCAAAAGCTTATGATGGTATTTATCTTACAATTCACTGGTAATAAGGAGCAGCTTAACCCCCCTCCCGAGTATATAATTTTTGATATACTGTGTTGACATCACTAAAAACGTTTTAAAGAAAAAATTGTATATAGCTGTTAAAATAAGTGACCCAGTTGTTTGCTATTTTCAGAGATAAATTTCAGACCTCAAGTTTTTTTCTTTCCTCACTTCTTTTACATTTTATCACAACTTTTGCTTTCTGAAAAGAGAGCAGTGATAGTAAATGAATGGCAAGTTCTTGCTTGGTTTCATTTTGTTGGTTCTTTTTTGAGCTTTCAATTAGAATTTTACGAATCTTAGTGTGGGGAGGAAATATTCTGGTATGTTAGGAATAGTGAATAATTTTCTTTGCGCTCTTTCATTGATAATGTTGGGGGTGTATGTTTTATAAATGCACTTATTTCTGAGATTTGTTTAAAGATAATATTTAGTTTGACCAAGTAAGAAAAAAAAATCAAGAACAGTTATTCATGATGGTTGTCTCTTGTTTTGGTTGTATGTTTGTTGTGAAGGTCAATTTAGTTAAAATTACTAAATATTTAAAATCTGAAAAGTTTCGACATTTGCACCAGATGCTTTTATTTATTTATTTAGGTATACATTGCCTTTTCAGCCTAGGTAACATCCTTGCAGGTGGGTCAGGCATTGGTCACAGGATCTTCCCCTTACCTTGTCTCCTGGAATCCTCTTGTCATCATTTTAATAATACACGATTGTTACAACTTTTTATTTTCAAGGAGAAATAACTAAAAGAGTTCCCAAATTAAATACACAATTTTATGCAGTGGTTATCTAATAAGCCAATTGCATTTTGTTAAATTTATGACATAGAATTATTTCAAGAAGTCACATTAATTTTTCATCACCCTGAAAAGAAAGTGTTAGCATGTCACAGTGTATGACCTCTGCTTTTAGTATAAAGGAAATCAGAATTAATGATCATCTTGTCTCTTCTTGATCAGGCTTCTTGATCAGGAGAGGTCCCCATTTCACCTGCTACTATGTTCTAAGGTCACTCCTGCCTAAGAGCCAACCTGGCCTTTTTGGTACTCTCTCAAGCCATCTTACATTTGAGGTTTTGCATTTGCTCATCTCTTAGCCTGAAATACTTTTTCTCCTGAGACAGCCTTATGGCTTGTTCATTTACTTAGCGAGTCTTTATTGAAGTCTTTACTGTCTTATCACTATTTTTAATGGCCATCTCTCGCTTACCACCCAGCAGTTTCCTCTCTGCTTCATATTTTTCAGTGATATTGTGCACATTTTTTCCTCAGGTAGAAATTCAGCTCCTTTTGATGACAAGGATGAATTTGGTGTATTTTGTTTACACCTATAACCCACTGCTTCAAACTGCCTGTACCTTAGTAGTTAGTAAATATTCATTGAGTGAATACTGTTCATTCACTAAGTGAATCTTTGCATTTTTGTAAACTATTACAAAATCTCACAAATTTAGAAAAATTTAGTAAATAGTATCCTTTGAAGGAAAGAATATTGTTTTACTGTGGAAATGAGAATAATGGAACATACTAAGTGATTTCTACTTTGGATTCTGATGTTGGTTTAAATTAGACATTGGCTGAATTGTAAAATACTTGCATGGCTTTAAGCCATTTTTACGTTGTGAAATAAAAATATATGTTCATTGCACAAAGTTACTGCAAGACTTCGTGTTGGAACCTTTGAAATTTTTTCTTGTAGTTCTTTATTATAGCTCTGATGGAATTGTGCTGTAATTATTTGCATGTCAGTTTCTTACATTAGACTTGTATATCATTGTAGTGAAATAGTGATACATACAATTTATGCATTATTGTAGTCAAATCCCAATCATACATATACACACTATACACAGTGCATACCCTTTCTGTATGTGCTCTATTGCCTAGAAAGGTTCCAGGAAAATAGTTGCCCCTAGGGCATTTTTAATTGAAAGTAAAATATTCAATACTGTTACTATTTTTGTTTTCTTTAGGAATCGAAATTTAAGGAAACAGGTGTAATCACCCCAGAAGAGGTGAGTGTTGAAGATATTGTGAAGCTCTTATACGTTATCTGGGTGGTTTCTGTGCTTTTTAAGAAAATATCTGGAACTTTCTGATGAGTAAAACTGGACTTGTTGATTGTATACTGATTTACAAGTGTTTGTACTTCCTGTGGAATAGATGTGACTTCCTTCTCAGTTTGCCACTTCTCATATTTTTCTGAAGTTCCTCTTAATTTAAAAATGAACATGGGAGAGGGAATGGGAAAGTTTCCCATGGTCACATACTTTACCCACATTTTTATTATATTGAGCTGTACAGTGAGCTCTGCAGTGTTTACTGTGTTCTGAGTCTGCTACACTAAATGTGACTTTTGTGATTTTTCCCTTTGTAAATTTTCACTGCTTGATTACTAGGTTCTCTCTGAATGCAATATTCAACACAAATATTGTGCTTGTTAGATTCCTGCCACTGATTTTTTTTCACTTTTTCAACTAAACAAGTGATACTGAAATTGTTAGCACTTCATGGGCCAGTTGTATTTTATTTATTTGTTTGTTTATTTGTTATTGGCAGTTTGGGGATTCAACCCAGTGTGTTCACCCTGAGCTATGTACCTACGTCTTTTTATACTGAGACAAGGTTTCTCTTAAGTTGCCCGGGTAGAACTTTAACTTGCAGATTTCTTGCCTCAGCCTCCCTCATTTCTGGGATTATGGGACGTGCCACCATGACTGGTTTATTGAACTTTTACAACGATTATTTTTTGAGGAAACATTTCACTTGTTTACCAAATTTGTGTTATGAAAGACTTCTCTTTCATTGATTTAGTATATTCCTGGGGAAATAAATACTATGTTAAAAATCATTTTAAGCTCTAGCTTTATGAATAGTTATGACTGGATCTGATTTGTTGTGTTCTCAATAGAAGGCAAAGAATATAAACTTGATTTTTAACTTACTGAAAACACCACTCATTCGCAATACAGTTGTATTGTTTTGAAACAAATACTTTGAAATCAGCTGTGTTGTATGGTGCTGCTGCTGCTTCAGGATCAGAATGCCAAGACCTCAAACCCAGAATAATTGATCTTTCAGTTTTCATGTACGATGGACTCTCTTCAGTCCCAAATACCTTTGATGTCTAAAAATGTTTTGCTGAGCTGATCTTTTATCTGAAACTTTTTAATAAAGACTCATGGTGATGTGAAAAGAATTTGGGGAACTTGCTTTCTTTTGTTTTGCTTTTGTTTTTGTTTTTTTGAGACAAAGTCTCACTACTTGGTTGAGGCTAGATTTGAATTCACTATGTGTCTCAGACTGGCTGCGAATGCATCAGCCTCCCAAGTGTTGGGATTACAGGTGAGTGCCACAACACCTAGCCTTGGATTTGTTTTCAAGACCCATTACTCTAATACGTAGGCAAATAAGTTAAGGTATCTAGGGATGGGCCTCAAGTTTCCTCATACCTAAGATTCTTTCCTATTCTGCGATAGGCTTCATGAATGTAATACCTTGAATGCTAAATAAGAAATTTTGGTTTTAAGAATGTTACCATTCTTGCTAAATAAAAGTGTAATTTAGATGTGGTTATGTAAGTAGTACCACCTAAAATCAAGAGTATAGATGCAGGTATACTTTATCTCCACTGTTTGAAGATGACTAATTGTTATGAATTAAAAACTTGGTCAACTTAACACCAGCTGAATTAAATCAGCATGGTGCTGCACATAACCTGAGGCGTAACTTGAGGAAAGTTGCCAGTATAAATAGAGACTTGGAGAAGAAGCGTGAGGCATTCTGGGTTTCTCTAAATGTTGCTGTTTTGAGCCATTGGTTCTGGATGAACTCCTCAAGACTAGCTTCCCCAGTGTGAGTGTGACCATTGTCATCGGAGGAGGAGGAGGTGGGACTTTGTTGGTGAGAGTGACTGTGGTTCACTTTGGGGGAGCTCTGGTCCTTAAATCAAGCATTGCTTCCTGACTCCGGAGGGGAAGATGTGTGCCATTTAATCTCCAGGAGATGCTTGTCACACTGGCTTTCTGGAATGTACTCTACTGTTCTTATTGTGGGAGGAGCTGGGGACCTCCCTGTTGCTAAGGATGGCTGTGGTGCTTTTCAGTGCAGCCCTGGTCCTTGTTTTGAGCATGGCTTCTTTGTTCCAGTGTAGAACCCTCAACTTAACAGCACAGCTCCTTCACCCCACTGGCATAAACTTTCTAGCTTCCACCACTGACCTTGGGCCAGGGAGCGCAGATGCATAAAACAGACTTGTATGGGTCCTTCTTGTGGGCTCTAGACCTCCAGTGAGACTGATGGGAGGTATTGTCATGAGCTATTATCTGGACTCATGTAGGACACTGCTGTGGGATCCAGGCCATTGGCTGAATATTCTGTGTCTTTCGTGTTGTGGACAGATTTCTTGCACTTCTTGTTAAACTCTGGGTGACCATAATAAAATAATAAATATAATATTATATTTATTATATATTATATGGCTGCCCATAATAAAATAATATTATAAATTCCATGTGCTGATTCTAATTGTTCTTCTCACAACCCCTGACTACAACACTAATCATTAGATGGTTGAAGTTACAGATACAGGTCTGTGGTTGTTGGCTATAACTAAGCTGTTTTAGAACAGAAATCCTGAAATGAATTGTTAAAACTCAGGGAAGAAAGCAGTTATTATTTTTCCTTTAAAAACAAAATTCCAGTTCCAGGCAAAAACTAACCCAGCTGGGTACTATGCATGTAAAGCTAGGTTGGAGTACAGAACCATTATGGAATTAAGGGAGATTGGAAAGAGCCTGGAAGAGGAAAAACTGAAAGGCAGCATTTGCTCTGGATAAACTGTACTGCCTTGATTTGCTCATTTGTATCTTCTTACTGCTTCTGGATAAAGCTTTCAAAATTCTGTCAGTAGCCAGCTATCCTTTTTGTTTCAGAGATGTCAAAGTCTTTGTGTTTAAAAAAGGGGCAGCAGTGTCTAAACTGCATTATCTGAAAAAATATAACAATGTATTTTTTTGAGTTCTGTGAATAGAGAATAGTTTGAGTAATAAATTTGCTTCCAAAATGTGAATACTGATTCTTACTGGAGTTATTTACTGATAACTCACACGAGAAGTAAACACTAAGAGAAAGCTGCTACAAGCAATATTGTTGATGTGAAATTTGACTATCTTACATGTTATTTGAATATATAAAGAAAATAATTTCTGTTGCTTATTAGCAAATACACACGTGTTACAGCTGCCAGTCTGTGTTTTTAATTTTTTTTTTAAGTTTTTGTTGTTACTTTTTAATAGATACAATCAGACTAGAAACTGTGAAATAAAATTAGTCTTGTGATTTCATGGAAATATACTATAACTGAAGAATTTTTGATGAGTTGTTTGGCTTACATTTTGTTAATATTTTTGGCAGTAATAAATTAGTTCCAGATAACCACACAGTTAAAAGTAGTATTTAGTTCCAGTGAACCCCAAAATACTTAAAACTTGGAGCAGAAATTATTGTTTGCATTTTCTTTTTGTCTTAATTTAATAAATTTAAATAATAAAAATATTTTTAAAATAAACATTTCTACATTTTCTGTTGGGAATACAGTTGCTGTATCTATCATCAAAGAAGTTATTTTCAAAGTTCTTATTTGATGAAATTTTTTTGCCACAAAGTACAGTATTTTATGTGGGTATACTTTCTTAGGCATTATAAGAAGAAATTTATTGTGTTTCCTGTGTAACAAACCTCTGAAACAATGCAAGATTTTAAGTTAAAGCTGTTGTGAAATAGAGATAGTAAGGAAAGTGTGTGCAATAACTTGAGTTGGGACACTTGTTATGCTGAAAACTTTCATTTTCTTTTCTTAAAAATGAAGAATTTTCTACCTCAGTAAGATTGTTATGTCCATGTAAACCGGCAATTCTGAAAAGATTAAACTGCTTCTCTGTGAGTCTTTTATTTCTAAAGAAAACAAAAGCTTGTACAATGTTCACAATGTCCAGTCTGCCCATAAAGCCCAAAGTTGTTAGAAGGTTCAATTTCTTAATTTGGTCAGTCCAAAAGTTTTTTTTCTGTTGTGGAGCACTACATTTATTTGACTTATTAACGATTCCTTTAAGAATATGATAAAGCTTTCAAAACTGGTGGTTACTTAAATAAAAAATAAAACAGAACACTGAGTATGTAACTCAGTGGTAGAGTGCTGGCCTAGCATGCACTATGGCCCTGGGTTCAATGCCCAGCACTGGAAAAACCCCAAAGCATATACTGATGTGTTGTGATAAAGATTTATATAATAGATCTATATCTATTACTAATACTTTCAGAGACTTTAGTTGAGTTTTGTTACTAGCACAATTCTGTAGCACATTTTATTCATCCATAAAATGGATCTTGACATCTTAGTCTGTAACCTTACCCTTATTAATTTAATAACACTGTATGTTTTGGGCCTTATTTAGTAAAATAAACTTGAAATTAAAAATAGCATTTAGTGCTTTCTCTTTAAAACTTAATTTAATTTTCATAGATATCTAAAACTTTAAAAATAAATTTCAGGTTTGATTTACATTTTAATTATTAGATTTAAAAGTTACCCAGGGTAATCAGTTTGATATTTTGTCAGCCTGTATTCAATGATGTTTAATTTTTCTTTTCCTTCTCTTTATTCCTTCCAAATCTTGAAGTTTGTGGCAGCTGGAGATCACTTAGTCCACCACTGCCCAACATGGCAATGGTAAGTGCATTTAAATGAAACGTAGTAAACTTTAGAGTTACGATAATTTCCGTATAGGTTAGTGCATGAAAATTATAATGACACATTCACTGAACTTTTAAACAGTACCTCAGTGATGCTCAGAATAAAAGGGGGAAAAAGTGGGCATGAACTCTAACTTATTATAGCAGAAAAGGAAGATGTGTTTGAAATAAATTCATTTTTTGGTAGTATCTGTTTTGTAGTCTCTAGATCTGATCTAATAGTTCCTTAAAAATCATTCAGGAGTTAATCAGTTTCTTTTTTCAAGTTAATAAATTTATTAAACATTTTTAATGAGATACATACATTTTCTGGGGAATTTTGTGTTTTCTTTAAAACCTGAAACAAACACAGTTTTTTAAAGGTTAAAAGTTTTGTTCTCTCTTTAGTAATCAACTACCCTTAAGTCTTCATTAGAGGTCTTAACTATAAATTCGCTCATAATAGACTTCAGATTTTATTTTCTTTTTTGTCTTTTTGCTTTTTATTGGTACCAGCGATCGAACTCACGACTGCCTGCTTGCAAGGCAGGCGCTTTTGCCGCTGAGCTAAAGCCCCAGCCCCAGATTTTATTTTCTTAATTTTTAAATTACTAACGTAGTTTACAATGTATTTAAAAAACATTTTTTTTAAGGTAGTAAAATCCAGGAAAAAAACACAGAACAAAGTCAGTTAAAGCAGTGCAGCAAAATTGGTACAGAACTTGAAAGTAGGATAACAGGAAACAATAATAGCTACCATACTTACTGTATATTTTAAAATATGAATAATAGCAAAGTTTTGGAGCAAATGCATTTTCATTATTTTTAAGTACTAAGTTAACTTCCTTAACAAGTAATTCTAATACTGGCAGAACTGTTTCAAAATTTATCAACTTATTTGGAGATAGTCGCTCCAATACATTACATATTTTTTTTAAGTTTTGTGTAAGGTCCTGAGGATTGAACACAGGGAGTACTAAGGTACATTCCTAGTCTTTTCCATTTTAAGACAGGGCCTTGCTAAGTTGCCCAGAAAGTTGCTGTCCTCCTGCCTTAGCCTGCTGAGTAGCTGAAATGGTAGGCATGTGCCACAGCAACTGGTTTTATCTGCTTTGTTTCGTTTTCTTCATGACATTTTTCAGATGGAAATGAAAGACACAGTTTGATTAGGAGCAAGGACTCTAGCACTAAAAAGGTTCAAATTGATAATATTTTTCTTAATATCTAAAGAATGTAGTGTTTTAAACCAGAGTTGGAATACTCTTGTGGTCTGTTTTATTCTACTTCATTTTTATTCATTTGACATTTGACTTGTATCTGTTATCACTGCTTTTTTTCAGAAGTTCTTTACCTTATAGAACTTATTTCTTATGTGCTGAGAAAGGCCACAGTGTCAGCTTCATTTATTTTTTTTTTCTTTTTTATGTTTATTTTTGTTCCAAATTTTAAAAAATTTAGTTCATATTATGGAATTCTTTGACTTAGTAAAGATGTCCCCACTCCCATCCTAAATTTTCTGTTTAATCCATGTTCTGTCCAAATCCATATTTGAAGTCAAATAAGCATAAAAATGTAATAATAGTTTTTGTAAAAGAGCTTATTTACGTTTTTTTTCAGTATGGTAGATATCATTTGCCTTACTGGAGATTTCTTTGTCTAGAAAGCTGGAGTATCTGGTTTAGTAGCATTGCTAAGAGTTTGTGTACACAGAAAGGCTCTTATAGCAGGTATTTAGAGTTCTATTTTATGAATTGTGATAGGTGAAACAAGTTTTTTTTTTTGTATTGTGAGCCTATTCCATTGTCCATACGTCTGCCTGAGTTGGTGGCTCCAAAGGAATAATTAATTTTAAGTCAATGAAAGGGACAGATTATTTCCATACTGATTCCTTTATGTAGGCAAGTACTATCATGACGCTACTTTCATTTTTCTCAGCAGTTCAGCCATTGCCATCATGTTGTTCAATTTGACACTTGTGATTAGTTAAAAGAAGCCTAGAAGGCTGTCAAATGATCCTAGAATATTTTTGTGGGCATTTGTGCTTAAATCTGTGTTTGAAAGTTAATCTAAACCTTTTAAAAGCCACTTGCACTCCATATTTATGCTCATATGTTTGTGAAAAATACCACATCCCACCACTATTCTGGCACAGTTTGGTGGATGGCCCACAGAAGGATGTTTGAACAGATTGTTAATGTGAGATGCCATAATAGCTTAGAAATCTTAGAGTTGGTTCTCATCCACAGAATTTAAGAATTGAAACCCTAAAGCCAAGTGTGGTGGCATATGCCTGTAATATAGCTACTTGGGGGACTGAGGCAGGGAGATTCACAAGCTGGAGGCTAGCCTGGGAAAGTTAGATCATGTCTTAAAATTTGAAAAGTGGGAATGTAACTAAGCTGTAGAGTGCTTGCCTAGTATGGTGGCCATGGGTTTAATCCTCAGTGCTACACACACACACACACACACACACACACACACACACACACAAGCCCTGGATTTGGCTGGATCCTGACTCTTCTGACCAAGTTTTGTATCTCTAGGCAACTTAACTCGTTTAAGCTTTAGTTTACTTATAAAATGGAAATATTCACATTACTTGCCTTTTAGAGTTACGAGAATCAATAGTCGTGCATATTAAACTTCTGAGTCCTATGCTTACTGAACATCTGATAAAATGGTTTTGTTTTAAGCATTATCATCTTGTGAGCCAAAGCATTTTTTTGCCTCTTAGTTTCTAATCAAATGGTAAGAATGGGGATCTTGTGAACCACCTACTGTGTTATGTAATGTCACTAGCACTTTTTTTTGCCTTGATCTCAAGATGAATACTACATTAAAATTTAAAATCTAAGGTGAACAATGCATTAAGATTAAAAATCTGAAAGATTATATTTGCAAAAGAGGAGCATTTTTATTTTCTTTAGAGACAGATATACTAGTTGCTTATTCTACTATCCTAGGATTTTTTGTCTGCATCTCAGTATATTTTACTATATTATCTTCATGTTTTCTGTAACCTAATATATATCAATTAATGACATCATTCTCCAGCCATTCTTAAAACAGAACAAACATATTTTAGTTTTGAGATTTACTTTTAGAATTCTCTTTTTAAATTTTAAAATATATTTGTATTTTGATTCTTTCTCCTGTTTTTAAAGGGCTACAGGGGAAGAATCAAAAGTGAAGGCATATCTACCAACGGGCAAACAATTTTTGGTAACCAAAAATGGTAAGAATTATATTGTGTACATTAATAAATTCTGCAGGAACATTAAAAGGAACAATGAAAACTGTTTATCCTGTTGATCCTAATTTGTGCCGGAGGATGTTCTTAACACTTCTCTCACAAAATTGCAAATTAACAAAACTCTGTGTTTTCTATTTCTATAGTATTCCTTTTCTTCTTTGATTTGCATCTCTCTAATACAAATCTAATACAAATCCCCATTTTTTGGACGGGGAGAGGTTTAGTTGGCAAGATATAAAAGAAGGCTCTAAGAAAAGTTAGGTTTCTCTTAAAAAGATTTTTTTGAAGTTGACTTCATATTAATTTTTAGCTATTTGATTTTAATCTTTCAGTGTAAGTTTTTCATGGAAAATGAAGTTGATACTATCTTGATATCTTAACCTCCAAGTTAAAAGATTTCTGTTATTCATTGCGCTGTTGAGGAATTTTGTAAGGCACAGAATGTGTTTTGAAATACATATCTATGGAGTTAATTTTTAAAAAGTCAAAGGTTATGTATGATAGTCCTTGAACAGTCACGTAGCAGTACATTGATATCTGCTCTAATTTACCTCACATAGTAAAAGGAAAACTGTAAAAAAGCAGCATTTTTTTCCCTACAAAATATATTTATTTTATCTTTGAAAAACTATTTAAATGAGATTAATAGCAACTTGACCTTACATCAATACCCTATAATTGCTCAATTTTAGAATTATGAATAACAATATTTGTTAATTGATGCTTTTGTTTCATGAAAAATTTGGCTACAGTGATTGTGTAAGAAAGTAAAATTCAGCAATTTGTTTAAACTATTTATCCTTTGTGAATGACTATGACTTATAAAATTAATAGTGACAACTGTTTCAGTTTTGTAACTAGCGATCACCTCTGCCACCTCTGAGTATGATAAATGATACTTCCGTGTTCTGAGAGTAAAATAGTAATTTAAGGTATTACTGGTTAGTGTGAATTTACCAATGTCTTTTCTGACATTTGCCTGCTTTTCTTTACAGACTATCATGATAAAGAAATACATAGAAAAGTTATACCAAGTCTTTCTGCTTGTCTTCTAGCAAAACAATTTAGGGAAAGACTAATGTAGCTGAAGAATTCTGTCTCTGTCTGTAGACTGAATGTAACTCTAATTGATTTCATTAGAAGTGAAATATAGTCATTTAATATTTAGTAGCATATCATTTTATGAAATAAGCTTTCTTCTGATGAATTTATGATTAGTTGATTATATCCTAATAACTATGTTTGCCATTTTTTGATAGTGCCATGCTACAAACGCTGCAAACAGATGGAATATTCAGATGAATTGGAAGCTATAATTGAAGAAGATGATGGTGATGGAGGATGGGTAGATACCTATCACAACACAGGTAATCCATATATTTAGTATAGTATAGAATGGTGTATATTTAGTATAAATTTTTTAAAACTCACACCCTTTTATAACAGTCTTGATTTAAAAAAAATAGGATAGATAAGGCAGTATTTTGTCCCAGTATTCTTTTATCTGAAAGAAATAAGACAAATTAAAAAGAGTTTCATTGGGTTATACTAGTGTTGACTACTTCAGTAGTTTGAAAATAAGTATTGTTATCATTATTTCTAAATAGAAAAATTAAAGCCAGTAAAAAATGCTGAGTTATGCATACTATACTTTAGAATCTTCCTTATATGTCATTCAATTGCTAGATTATGAACTCTTCTGTGACAGGAGTAATCTTATTTTACCTAGAGAATTGGAATCTATGAATATTTAATAATTATGTTTTGAATAATTATTAAAAGAAATTTTAAATTATAAGCTCCATGAAAGGAGAAATTCATTCTTGAATCTTCTATATTTACCACAGTGTTTGATATACAGTTGTTCAGTAAATATTTGTTTTTGGTTCTTTTTGTTTTTTAATTGGTACCAATGATAGAACTCACGACTGTGCACTTGCAAGGCAGTTGCTTATGCCGTTGAGCTAAATCCCCAGCCCCAATAAATAGTTGTTATATGAACTAAATTTAAGGATTTTATGCCTGCGTATGCTATGTATTCTTTGTTTTATAATGTTAAACTTTTTATCAAAGTTTTAAAAGATCAACAAATGTACTTGGCATATTAGTTGTAAATTTTTTTTTTATTTTTTTATTTTTTGATACCATGGATAAAACTCACACCTTGCACTTACCAGGCAGGTGCTTACGCCATGGAGCTAAATCCCTGGCCCTAATAAACATATTTTGTATTTAGTTTGGTTTATTTTGGTTTTTGGTTTTTGGTTTTTGGGTTTTTTTTTTTTTCTGTAGTAACTTTAGTTATTTATGTCTTGCTGAATTTTTCATCTTGGTTAAACTGAGAATATTAAGTATTTTGACTTAGAAATATTTTTTAGTCCACTGGTTATTTCACTTTCGTAATATTTTTGTTGAAGCAAATTGTTTCTATGGAATTTATCGAGGAGCAGTAGAAAAGCAGTGAATCAAAAGTCAAAGTATAAGGAATTTAGTTTCAGCTTCTTTGTAAACTCAAAGTCGTTTTACGTCTTTGGTGACTTCATTTCTACATAGGGAGAGATTATTAGTATTAACTGCTTCACAGAATACTGTTTTTGAGGATTAAAATGTGGAAACAGTAAATATAAATGCGTTACTTGATAGTGCCTTTGGATGTCTTAGAGTTCTGAAGCAAATAGTATATTTACATACCAATACCTGGTTGAGAAAATTTTGATAACAGGTTTAATTAAATGAGTCCCATAATCTTTTAATGTGTTCACTTGTATTGTGTTACAAGTAAGGGTTAGTAAATGGGGAATGAATGATAAAGTAGGATAATTCATGATAAATAGTAAGTTGTGTTGTTTTTATTTGAGCTTGAGAATATATGCCTTGGGTTATTTATTCCTTTTGGAGTTCATACATGTAAAGGTTTTGTTAGTATTTGCCTTTTTACTTTAGAGAAGTTGTGAGCATTTAGATGTTTTTAAGTGTTTTTATGTCGCTTTCTTCAGGTAAGTATACTTTCCAGCTTAATTGTAGTCATATTCTGCTGAATTTTTAAACAGGTATCACAGGAATAACTGAAGCAGTTAAGGAGATTACATTGGAAAACAAGGTACTGTTTAAATTGGTTAACATTTCTATTGTCAGTTACCTAGTTATTTGCCTACATATATTTTAAGGTAGCATCTTTCATATGTGAAGTCTAGTTATATACTATAAAACTCAAATTGTACCTATCTTCCCAGCCCTTATTTTCTATTTTTCTGTTTATAAGTTTTCATTTAATTCAGAAATGTAAAGCTATTATCTTTCCATTTCTTACTTAGAATGTTTATAATTATCTTCATATTTTTACAGTTGTTTGAAAATTATAATGAAAATAAGAGAATAATAGAAAAGCCTTTTTTTTTTTTTTTTTTTTTTTTTTTTTTTAAGGTACTAGGGGTCAAATCCAGGGCTTTACATATGCTACATCCCAGCACTTTTTAATTTTACTTGCACGTTGAGACATTTTCACTAAGTTGTCCAGGCTGGCCTCAAACTTAGTTTCCTACTTTCAGCCTGCCAAGTAGTTGAGATTATAGACATGTATCATCTCAACCCTTAGCTTTTCTTAAGTTTTGTAAATAGTCAAGCCTTTTAGAAGATAGAATATTTTGGATGGAATAATTATATTCCTAGTGTTACTAGGAAAGGTTCCCTACAAATGTTGCTAATTTAAGACATTGTTTGTGTTTTCATTGTTACCTACTCAAGGATTTGTGTTTATAGTTTAATAGAAAGTGTAAGATATGAAGTAAGTTTATTTTTCATCTTTGCCCTGGGATTAAGGTTAAATTTATTGGCTTGAGAATTCATCCTTTTAAATGTCTATATTTTGGAGTTTGACTGAGGAGAAATAACCCAAGTGATTTTCTGACTTCAAAGATCTTCTGTGTTTTGGCTATTGGTGTATCTGTTTCACATTTTAAAACAATAAATGAAGGGTAGTGTGGATGGCATTTTTTGAATAAATTTATGGTAATATTTTTCAGAAATTTGTGTTTGTTTTTGTAATGCTAAGGATTGAAACCAGTGCATGATGTATAACAGGCGAGCTCTTAATCACTGAGTTACATTCTCAGTCTTCATGACTTTTAATAAATGTAAGGATTAGTATGATGCTTAATATCCCACTTAACATCCTTATGTTCTACTATGGATGAATACTCTAATAATTTGCAACTAGGATGTATCTTTCTGTCATTTCTTATTTCATACTGTATAGAATTTATATATTTTTAAAACTATTTAGTTCTTAAGATGCTTGCATCTATTTCCAAGTGTTAGTCTTCATTGCTGAGTTTTGCTCTGTCTTATATATCAAGTGTGAATATTACTAGCATGATTAAGGACTCTTGATGATCAGTTTTTCAGTTATAAGCTCATTTAATAATTACCCAGATGCTGATACTCTTTCTCCTTGATTTACATTGCTTGGGTATTAAGCATATGTTGGATTTCAGTTTCTAGTGCTAAATAAAGCATCCATAAGCCCAACCCAAATGAAACTAAATGCCCAAAGTATTCACTTACCAATTTCAGATCATTAACTTTGTGATAATGATAACTGGATTTTAAGGCTGTCATTGGTTAGCATTACTCTTTTATTGTTAACTTTAGTTAAATTGAAGTCTTATGTGTTATAATAACTATAAAGTCTGAATTTTGGGTAATTCAGCCAGAGTATTTTTAAAAATTAGAATTGATAGTGTTTGATTTGTCTTATTTTAGCTTATAAATGAATTATAAGTAAAGTTATCTTAAATTCTAAGTGTATAGTGTTCATGAACTTAATTTGTTATTCAGTTTTGGAAAAAATGCCTACAACCTGTGTGGGAAAGATGACCAAAATTATGATTGTCATCCAGTGCAGAGTTTTCAAACAAAAATAAAATTTTGCCAGACTCTTCTGTTTGTAAGCCAAATTGTTTGCAAGCATAATGTTTGTGAACTGAGGTACCACTGTACAAGTTAACATAACTGGACTGATTTTGTAATACTAATTGATTGAGTAATAATACTGTTTTATTGGAAGTTCAACTGGTAACTATTTTTAGATGGCTAGCTTAGATGACTCTTGTTGCTCCCTTAATACTTTGAAATTTTTCAGTCACATCACATTAAATGATTGATTTAGGACTTTTGTTTTGGATTATTTTTTTCTTTTTAAAATGGAATCTCAATATGCAGTTCAGGCTGCCTCAAATTCACTTTGTAGCCTAGGTTGGCCTCGAACTCACAGCAGTCTTCCTCCCAAGTGCTGGAATTACAGGCTTGCCTCACCACATAATTTAGGGCTTTTTCAAACCCATTTGTGTTTCAATTTTTTGAGGGCAAGAACTGCATTATCATTCTGCTTTCACATTGGTTGATTAGCACTTGTTGGACATAGGTTGTCTGTATTTGAAGGAATATTTAGATGATTTTAATTAATTTCAAAGGACAGTATAAAACTCCAAGATTGCTCAGCACTGTGTGAAGATGAAGAAGAGGAAGATGAAGGAGAAGCTGCAGACATGGAAGGTATTTATATTCTAAGTTGGTTTTAATCTTGTTAGTATGTTGATTCTAAAATATTAGTAGTCCATGTAGACTAATAATTTTATTCTGTTGTTTTTTAAATTGTAGTGTTCACCAGTATAGGGTATGTACTTTTTAATTTCATTAGTACAAAGCTAATTTTTATGTTGAGCTGTTCTGCATTACTTAGAACATGGTCACAGTGGGATTATTTATCTTGGGATAAATATTAATCATATATCTAATGCTGGTGATTGCTGCAAGATACTATTTCTGTGATTATTTCAAAACACAGGTCATGTGTTTTGTTTTGTTTTTTCTATTTTTTGTTTGTATCTTTCTATGAAGACGTTAAGAATCATTTTTTAATTTTTTTTAGTGGGCTTTTGCCATATTTCCTAGACTGGCTTTTAACTGTTGAACTCAAGGGATTTTCCTACTTCAACCTTATAAGTTCCAGAACTACAGGCATGTGCCACCATGCCTGGCAAGATAGTGATTCTTTGTAGGGTCTTTTGAACTACACAGCATCCCCTCATAGTTTTCTAAAAATGAGGTTGCCACTTAACAATGACTGCATTAAGATACATTAATACAAGTGATTAAAACTCACTAATAGAACAGTTTTACAAGTCCTACTTACTAGTACACAATTCAGAATTTCCTACTTCATTAAGATAATCTTTAATACAAGTGAAACCTCAGATACTTAAGAATAGATGAAATCGTTATCACCAGGATTACCTCATTATTAAATCTGTTTTTTGTTGTACTTTTTATTTATTTACTTCTGTTAACTGTGCCTTCTTTCCTTTTTCTGACATTGGATTGTCTCCTTCCTTAACTTTTTTTTTTCCTAAGTCATGTTTTGGACGTTTCTCTTCTGCCTGGATGTTAAATGTTACTATTTCATGGCCACTGTCTTCCTCCCTGCTTTATTCTTTTCATTCCCCAGATTTTGTCTATTGTTATGGCTTGTGTAATGGCATGTGGCGATTAGGCATGGATATTTGTGCAGTGGGAGACAGCAGATTCCTTACAAGAGATTAAATACAAATACGTATTTGTGTACATGTACATGTATAGAAAGACAGTATGTGGTATTGGTAGAGAGACATAGAGAGGAGAGTGAGAAAGAAAGGGATTTGCGAAAAGACCTATGGCAGGCATTGGAGTCTTTAAGATAGCTGCACCCCCAAAATAATCTTTTTTAGGTCAGCATAGTTATGTTTTATAGCATGCAAAAGTGGAAAGTGGTGTCAAATAGATGTAAGGACCATAAGGGCAAATTACAACTCCTGGACTCTTAAGTACCTTTCAGTTTAGTTCCCAGATTACTTTAAAGTCTGTATGAAATGTAGCTGTGTATCTGTTACTCAGTTTTAGTGAGATTCTCATTCTTATTTCCATAGTAAAACTACTATCCCTTGCAGAAATCATAGTTATTTGTAAGCAGAGTTTCTCACAGCAGTCTCAGCATTCTTGTGCTCAGGACCTATATTTAAACCTCCACCTTCAACATTTCAACTTCAAAACTATTTGTTTTATTAGCACTTGGATATTTCACAGTTAGTAGAAGCTGAACTCCTCCTTTTTTTACACAAATACTCTTTCTGGATTCTCACTGTTTTTGAACAGCATACAATTTTGTCCAATCTGTGATAGGGATAGGTAAAGCACTGTTTTTAGAATACAAGCTATAGAACTGCCTTAAACATCTGACAGCCTTTAGTGTGTTTGCTACATTTTCCTTGAATAATTAAAGAATTCCTCTATGTGCAATTTTGCTCAAAATTCATGGTGTTTAGTATAAAAGGTAATTTTATTCAACAAATATTTATTGAGCAATATAGTATTTGTGGATCAGCAACTTCTCAGAATGAGATAAAAAGCAAATAGGCATGATCTCATAGAATATAGATTATAATGAGGGGAAACATGCAAAAATGCAAATAAGCAAAATATATAGTGTAAATGTTTATTATTGTTAGAAAAATAAGGAAAGAGGATGGGGTACAGTGTTTCCTGTTTTTATAAGCTAGTCCAAACAGCCCCACTGAAAGTATGCCATCTGAATAGAGCCTGAATGTGAGTAACCAAGCTGACTGGTTATCTGCGAGAAGTGTTAAAGACCGTCCAGTGGGAACATGTATGGCTTATGTAAAATAATTTCAAGGAGACACCTCTGTCTAGAGTAGAGAGCAAAGGAGAATGGTGAAGGGTGGTCAGAAAGATAACCAGGGACTAGATTGTGTAGTTCCTGACTAATTCAGAGTAAGAGAATTGGTAGGTTTTTGTAAGTGAAAGAGTAACGTGCATTGACATTTACTGATGTGCTAAGCATATATTGAAGGAGAAGAGAGACAACTATTACAACTTATTTTGATAATAACCTTGGGCAAGAAATAATAGTGACTTGGGCCTGAGCAGTGATGGCAAACCTCCTCTCCATCCCTCCCCTCCCCTTTTCTTCTTTTTTCTTCTTTTCCTCCTCCCTGTCTCCCTCCTACCTTTCCCTTCTTCCCTTCCTTCCCCCCTTTTCCCTTCTTCCCTGCTTCCCTTTTTCTCTCCTCCCTTCATGAGCCAGCGAAGGGGATCCTGAAGGATCAGCAGTAAGGTGGGAAGAAAACAAGGAAAATAAAATATCTTAAAAGCCAAAGAAAGAAAGTGCTATAGGAAGGAAGGAATAAATCATATTTCTGAGAGGTCAACAAAGATGAAAACTGGGCGTTTACCATTCAGTGAAGCAAAGTAGAAATTACTGGTGACATTTTCACATTCTATGTTATAACTGCCAGTAGTTCCCTCTTATTTACAGTTTTGTTTGTGGTGGAGTTAGTTGTCCATGGTCATTTATGGTCTAAAAATATGAAATAGAAAATGCCAGAAATAAAAAAGTCATATTTTAAATTTTATGGTATTCTGCATAGTGTGATGAAATCTCATGCTATCCCTCTGTTTCATATGTGAGATGAGTTATTTTTTTCCCAGTTCATCCTTATACTGTATGTGTGCTGCCTGCTGGTTAATCACAGAGCCATTCAATTATCAGTTCAGCCATCATGGTATCACAATGCTTCCCTTATTTACTTAGTGAAGACTCTCCCCCTACAACATACAACCATAATAGTGCTGACGATTCAGGTATGTCAAAGAGATACAGTAAAGTTTTTCCTTAAAGTAAAAAGGTGAAAGTTTTTTACTAGGTAGCAAAAGTAAAATACTATACACTGAGGTTGTTAAGATCAAGGGTAAGAACAAATATACTATCTGTAAAATTGTGAAGAAAACAAAATTTTGTTAGTTTTGGTGGTATACCTCAAACTGCTGATGTTAAGCCCTCATGTATGATAATAGCAGAATTAACATGAAAACCATTAAATTATACCGTTCTGAACTATTTGTGGTTTCAGACAGCCTTTGGGAGTCTTGTGTTAGCTCTCCCTCAAAAAGGCTACTATTACGTGTAAATAGTCCTGTATATACCGTAGTCACTAAGGACTCTGTGATGATATTATGCCAGATATTGTATCTAATAGACTAACACAAATCATACCTAAACATGCTTTCTCTGGCCTTTTGTCATACAAAGTATTTTGGAAGTATAGAATTAATTCATTTATGTATCTGTTAAGCATCTTCAGTTAAAAAAACAAAACCCCACATTTGGAATGATATTCTAAAGTAATAAATTTTGTTTAGGAAATTTTCTTGAACTGGATTAATCTTTTTTTCTGTGACAGAATATGAAGAAAGTGGATTGCTGGAAACAGATGAGGTTTGTAAATTGAGTTTTTCTAGTTTATTTTTAATTAGTGAATTTGCATTAGATTAGGATTCTTACTAATCTTACAAGTCTTAATGACATGTTGATCTTTCAAAGTTTTATATTCTTACGTAGGTTGATTGTTACTATAAAATAATCTGTAAAATATGTATCATATATACACTGTTACCTTCTTGGTTCACAAATGTGTTTTTTGTAAACAATTTGGTTTGCAAACAGAAGTGTTTGGCAAAATTTTGTTTTTGTTTGCAAGTTCTGCATCAGGTAATAAACATGACCATGGCCATCTTTCTCTCATGACCAAGAATGTGACCATCCATTCTAGAATCGTGGAATGAAATTAAGTTCATGAATCAAATGTATATTCCATATTAAATACTAAATTTAATTGTAAGTTCATTTATTTTTAAGAAAAAGACAATATAGAACAGGAGAATAGATTTTTCTAGGATATCGTGTTCATACTGACTTAATGACTAAATTTTTCTCCATTATATGCCAGGCTACACTAGATACAAGGAAAATAGTAGAAGCTTGTAAAACTAAAACTGATGCAGGAGGTGAAGATGCTATTTTACAGACCAGAACTTACGACTTATACATCACTTATGATAAATATTACCAGACCCCACGCCTGTGGTTGTTTGGCTATGATGAGGTAACAATGAAAAAAATGTGTATTTTAATGTAAATATTTTAAATCATTGGGTTTAATTCCTTTGTTAGATCTGTGGGTCCGTATGATGTTTTAAATCTTAGAAATCATTTGTTTTACAATTGTATGTTTAACGTTGAAGTTAGTGTTCTTACTTTGAATAAATTATTCATTGAGACACTATATTAAGAGTGAGATACACATAATCTGTGTTTATATATTTATTACTTGGCCTTTAAGCTTATCCCTTTAAAATGTAAGGGAAATTGAACTTGATATATTTTACTAAATTTTGTATGGATTATATGTGTTGTGTATATAAGCTTTTTCAAAATGATGTCATACTTTCCCCCTTAAGACCCCTTTAACTTAGTTGATTAATTGAATTAAAGGATAATTGAAATAAAATCAGATTTTTAAAGCTTGTAATTCTTGCTGTAAAATGAAACAAGAAATAAGACAAAAGAGGCCTGAAAGATTATTTGTTAAATGTTAAAATATTTTAACAGCCACAGATTTCCCTCTTTGTGGAATCTGCATTAGGTGATAGCTGATGTCACATAGCCAAGATTTACAGATGCTTTCCCCTGTTCCCTTCCTGCTTGATAGGAAGCATAAACTTTACCTAAAATAATCTGGAAGTTCTAAATAGTCTGAAATTTTAATTTGCGAGGACTGGAGGATAGATATAATATAAACACTGAGGTATAAGCTAAATATTTTCAAATAGTCATTTCAAAGCATTCTTTATGATTTCAGCAACGGCAGCCTTTAACTGTTGAGCACATGTATGAAGACATCAGTCAAGATCATGTGAAGAAAACAGTGACCATTGAAAATCACCCTCATCTCCCACCACCTCCTATGTGTTCTGTTCACCCATGCAGGTGTGTGTATATGTGTATATGTTTGTGTATGTGTGTAGAGAGACAATGTATGTTTCTATTTCATGTATTTATTGTTTGGGAATCTATAAACATAGACCCTAATAGAAAATTTTACTTTATAAGCAAATAAAATTCTTTTTCATCTTCCTTAGAAATGTTTTGTGCTTACCTATACATAAGCGAAAAGAAGAAAATCTCTTCCATTTTAATACATTTTTTCTTTCATATTTATACGGTAGATCTGTGTGATCCTAATTCTATTTTCATTTACAGAACAGCTTGGAATAGTTTGGACTAGTGTCCATCCTTAGATAGGTTTATACTGTTGTGATTGTATCTTTCTATGCATGTGGCAAATAAAGTTTCCTTTATCTCCTCTCTGGTTAATTAAGAGGAATAATTAAGGAGTTTCTGTATTCTTTTGGTCATTTTTTGCAGGGGCTTCAGGCTTACAAATTAAGGACCCTTTATAATTTGGAATTTGGTTTTCACAGGGCTAGAAAAATGAAACTATACGCATTTGTTCAGAATTTTTCTTTTAAAAAAATTGTCTACTGATTTCTTTCAATTGTTTCTAGCAGGTAACTTCACAGTTCAATGAGAAATACTGGTAACACTTTTTTGTGTGTGTGAAAAACACTCATTTTGTTGACCAGTTAGATGAATTTTGTCCTCTTTTCTCATCTGAATAATAATTAAAAAAAAAACCTTTACTACTGCTTATATTCTGCAACCTTTGTATTACTACATTTTACCTTAGAGAAAGCCTGTTTCCCTTTTCTAGTTTATTTTAGGCCATTCTGTGGGCTACTTCAGATTGTACTAATACATGGGCTAGTATATTCACCCTTGTCCTCTAAGTGACTGCCTCTGCCATGAAAGATGTGCTCATAAAAGCTGAAGGAGCATTATTTAAACCAGGAAATGTATGAAAAGTAGCTTTTAGTTTATGTGCCCAGTTACTTTGAAATCACTGTTTTTTGGAGTACAGGAGAGGCACCAGTTTTCCATGATTTGTCCATAGGGCAGAAAAGTTTAAATAAATATTTTTCTTATGAAGCCCAAAATTATTTTTAAATAGAATCAGATAAATTTGATGGCATTATAATACCCAGTGATACAAAGAAAAAGATAAACTAGCTTACCCTAATAAAATAGCTTTTCTAAAACCATTTCAGTTTTGGCTTATTCTAAGTATGTATTTAAACATTCTGAATAACAAGGTTATAGATGTCTCTTTGCTTTTTGACTTTCACTATTACAGTTTTTGAATTTGTGTAGTCTGATTCATTTATGTTTCTTAGAAATAACCAGTGTTCCACTTTCATCCCTTTTTATGACTTTTCCCTTTCCTTGTCTTCTGTCTCCATTTATCAGAAAAGTGACCAATACCATGTTTATGGTCGCTTTTTATAATTATCCCTTGCTCCAATAAAATGATATGCATGGCTCAACAATCTAACGTGAATAGAGGAGAGAATTTAGTGTAATTGATATATGTTAAAATTAATTCAACAAGAATAAGGTTAGTTTCTTCACAAATGAAATTGTGTTCTTTTCCTGATTTGAACTAGGTTACCCACACTAATGAGATTTGTTCTTTGCTTTTAGGCATGCTGAAGTGATGAAGAAAATCATTGAGACAGTTGCAGAAGGAGGGGGAGAGCTTGGTGTTCATATGTATCCTTATGTATATATTTGTGCTTGGTAGCAAAATGGTTCTTAGGATATTTTGTTTGGAAAAATCTCATATAACCTTAAAGACACAGTACCTATAACTTGTTTTAGCCTGTTACCTTCGAATTTCTGGTAGAAAAATTTATTTAGGATATGTTTTATTGGGATAGAATGTTCTGTTGATTAGAATATGTCCCTTTGTGTTTTGGGGGGGGAAGGCACAATTCATCTTTATTTCATTTATACATTTTAGGGAGTACAATTTAGTGTAGTTGAAGAAGGCATCAGAGAGACAATTCTGTCATTGTAATTATTCCTGTATAGCAAACTAGTGAAGAACCATGCTACACAGATGCCCAATGCAGTAGGGTCCCATAAATATATAATGAGAGCCACAAATGCAACTTAAAATATTTGAGTAGTCAGACTAAAACAATAGAAATAGGTGAACTTAATTTTTTTCTACCTAATTACCTTTATTTATTTTTCAAATCCATTTTATTCAAACATTAAAAAAAAAAACTGCAACAAAATTTCAAAGCATGTCAATCAGAGGATAACAGTTGTACATACATCACTTATTGTCATCCCCAAATTGGTTGAACTCAATTTTAATAACAGATTTTATTTTACCTAGTATGTCCACAATACAACTTTAATAATAGGGAATGTAAAAATGAGACATCTTACAATCCTTTTTTCTTACTCTTTGAAATCTGGTATATATTTTGTACATAATAATGCCTCAGTTTGGGCACTAAATTTTCTGCAGATAAAGTATATTACTCTACCCAAAGAATAAAGTTGCATGAAAAAAATACTACTCAATTTTTAACTTAAATTATTTTAAATATTTAAGGTTAAGTTCTGTATGGTGGTGTTTGATTGTAATCCTAGTTCTTCGGAGGCAAAGGCAGGAGGATCCCTGCAAGTTTAAAGCCTGCCTGGGCTACATAGTGAAGTAAAGCCCTTTTATTTTTTAAACTTTTGAGGTAGTGTTTCACTATGTTGCTAAATTGCCCATGTTGGATTTGAATTTACAATCCTCCTGCCTCAGCCTCTCTGAGTACTAGTATTAGTAGTACTGGTATACTAGTACTAGTATTAGTAGTATACCACCACACCCAGCTAGTAAGCTATTATTCTTCATTCTGGAGATCATGATCTATAAAGGAGAGCAGATGTTATTCTTTTTCACAAGTAATGATTTTAGTTCATTAATTACAAAATCTGTGAAGAAGCAGCCATGCACAGGAGTTTTACGAAGTCTCAGAAAATAACAGCTTCACATTTAAAAACACTGTACCATGTCGCTGATTTCCAGTGCACAGAGCTGATGACTAGTAAGACACTGACATCCCTGATTAGAAAACCTGAAATCTGAAAACTTGAAACATTCTGATAACTGATGTGATGCCACAACTGGAAAATTCCATACTATAAAACTTTGTTTTGTGGATAAAGCTTAAAATCTGTGAGACAGCTTCAGCTTGTCATGTCGCTGGAGCTGGCCTATGAATCCTGAGCCAAGACTTTACTGTCTCAACCTTGACAGTAGCTAGGACTCCTATAAGTGAATGCCACTATGCCTGGCTCAAAATTGTTAAAAGTATTGTATAGAATTAACCTTTATGCCTGGCATGGTGGTGCACACTTGTAATCCCAGGGTTTGGGCCACTGTGTCCTTTTGTATACGAGTTAGCTTGTTACAGAGGCTGCCTACTAATTTAGAATACCTGACTATCTTCTCCTTAAGTATATTTCCAGTTTAACATGTTACCAAAAAATGTTATAGGTTATATCAACCTGTGGTCTCCTTGAGGCAAAGAATTCAACTCAAACAGGATAGTTAAAAAGTACAAGACGTATGTTAATTGTGTTTAAAATATTTTTATTTCACTCCAGTGAAAGCATCTTATATTTTGCATGAATCTTTTCAGTTTCTCTTACTCGGTTCTTGGGTGGAAGAAGGAGTAATTAAAGTTGATCCAAGTAAGTGGTTAGATACTGAAATACATGCAACCCATTGCATGGATTCATTAAAAGCATTCAAACTCAGTAATGTAGATGCCAAATAACGGGAGTTAGTGTAGTATCAGTTGGTTCATACCACTCCAGTTAGATATAGTAAGACTGAAGGATTAGCAGTGTCTTGAAGCTGCAGATAACCTAAGCATTCCTCATCAGGCATGTTGTTCAGAGCAACTTTGGACTCATTTGTAGTGGAGACAAACCAAGGACTTTTAATTCAAACCAAATTTATGTCTGAATACTTATTTTTACATTTATCGATTATGTTGGAAGCTAGGTAGTAAATTGAGTGTGGTCTGTGTGATTAATAATAATGAATCATTGATTTCTCCCATGAAAATTTCAGCTCTTAATGTTGTAGATACAGTAGAACATAGAAAAAGTTTCAAGATTGTATTAATGAGGGCAGTACAATATATTACAATCTATGGCAAGTACATCTGTAATCTACATTTAGTTCATGATGGAGGAGATTCACTTCAGTGAACTTTTCTTTTGCTACATGCTCTCCTAAGTTCTCTTACAAGTTTAGCAAACTGAAGAAGCAAAGTAAATGAGTAAATTTTATATTCACTTAGATATAGATAGTCTTGTCCTTATGTTATATCAAAATAATTGGACTTGTGTGCACTTCTCATTAAGTTTCAGCTAAGTGTGGTGGGTATATGCCTGTAATCCAGCAGCCTGGGAGACTGAGGCAAGAGGATTGAAAGTATGAGCCCCACTTAGGAACTTCCCAACTTGGTAAGACTTGTCTTAAAATTTTAAAAGGCAGATGGGGGAGAAGACTCTGGGTTCAATCCCTAGTACTGCACACAAAAAAAGAATGTTTCAAGTTGTAATATTGAAATAGGTGGTCAGGTATCTTAACCCTGTGAAGAGCCTCATGTTAAATAGACACAAATTTGCATAATTTAGATTTCTTTAATAGACTTGATGGAAAATTCTGGTTAGATTTCTTTACTAGACTTGATATAAAAATCTGTCATATGCTTTTTTCTAATAGACTGTTCTCCAACCTTATTTTCCTTAACAAAAAACTTTCAGGTATCTTCTAATTTTTTTGAAATTTGTACAAGCTGTCATTCCAACAATAGAGTATGACTACACAAGACATTTCACAATGTAACGAAGAGAACATAGAACCTCTCCTAATTACTGATTCTGATTTTTAAAGAATTAATCCATAGATGTGACCATTTACCAATATGTATAATTTCTCTAATAAAGGGAGTTATATGTTTATGCATTAAATAAAAAGTTCCACTACTAGCCTTATTTGTTTAATAAAAGTGAAGGTGAAGACAGTGTTTCTTTTTAATCAAGGTTATGAGATTTCCCCCAAAATAACATTCTTTAAGTGAATATGTAGCTCATATAGAATAAGGAGTGTTTTGGTGCACCTTTATGAAGAAAGTATTAAATAGGTAATAGTATTTAAACTAGTACTAAAAAATACTGCATTCTAGACTGTCTTCGCTTTGTTTCTTTTATTTTTCTCTTGCATATCCTTTCCTTAAGTCTCCTGTCTGCTAATAGTTAATATTTATGAAGAAGCACTTACTATATGCTAGAAAATATACCAAGTTCTGTTGTTTCTTGATTTAAGTTGATACTGCCAAAGTTATTTTTTATTAATAATTCAGAAATATTTTTGTATCATGATTGCCTGGTAAAATGCTAGACTTTGAGGGAATCCCTTTGTGGTGTAATGTTAAGTTTGCAGATATGGGTATCACAGTTCAGAGAACCAGGTGGTGTACTCTGGAACTGCACACTTTGAGCCAAAGAGAAGAAGCAGGAACCCATGCCCTTTGACTCCTTTTTTCTTTTTTGTTTAATAGTCTCTATTTCCCTACACTGTCTCTCATTTAATGCTGCTCATCATAGTCCATAAAATGTAGAGTGGCTTGTCTTTCCTCTGAGGAACCTTTGTTTTACTTTGGGTTTTTTTTTCCCCATCATTTAAGAATGCTCTCCTTTGCGGTAATGCTTTTTGATGTTCCTCTCTTTCCCAGTGTCTAATTTTATATTACAAGGAAGATTCCATACTGAAGATAATGACTTAGTGGAACCAATGTGATATTGGATATAGTGTAATATGAAAGCATAAACACAAATCTCATTCCCTTATAAACTTCAGTATCCTGCTTATGGCTGGGCACAGCCCCGCATGTCTGTATATTTGGGGTTGTAGGGCAAGAGGATCACTTGAGCACAAGAGTTCAACACCAGTAGCAAGACTGTCTCAAATATTCTAGACAAATATAGTGATTGCTTAAATAGCCAGGAATCCACTGTCTGTCTTTAATCTTCCAAACTGATTTCACTGGAATGCAACTGCTAATGTATATCACTACTAGATGGCATATTTTTAAATAGCCTTTTTAGTTTCAGATCTTTTCTCTAATTGAAATCTTTGTACAGATTTCTAAACAAATACGAATGTATTGGCATAAGTATTTTTTATGGGTTCAGATTTATAGCATTCATTAGAACTGAGTTTTTTTAATGAACAGTGGACCTTCATTGAGCTTAAAAATGAAATTCAAGGGGCTGGGGATTTAGCTCAGCGGCATAAGCACCTGCCTTGCAAGCAGGCGGTCGTGAGTTCGATCCCTGGTACCAATAAAAAGGAAAAAGACCAAAAAAAAAAAAAAAAATGAAATTCAAACTGCAGATCATCTTGTGAGCCTTTATATTGAATTAAAATTTCACTGTCGTAGTTTAAATATGTGATTTACACAAGTAGTAATGAATGGTAATAACTTAAACTTCTTACTTTGAAATAATTTTAGATTTCTAGAACAGTTCACAAAATCCTATGTACCCTTCAGTTAGCCTTTCTAGTATTAACATCTTACATAACCATGATCTATATATTGTTTTATGTCTTAAATATGAATTGTCTCCCAAAGACTCAGGTATTGAGGGCACTAATCTCATCAGTGAATTAACCCACTGATGAGATGATAGCTGAATGGGCTATCAAGAGGTAGGGTCCAGTGCAAAGAGATAAGTCACTGGGGCTCTTTTGACGCATCTGTCCCCTTCCTGTTTCTGGGGTTTTTTGACCATGCTGTTTTTAAGGTGCCACACCTTAAGCCGCTTTCCTCCAGCATGATGTTTTCCCCTCAGAGTCAGTGGGCCATGAAATTGAAAACATCTGAAATCACGAACCAGAAATAAAACTTTAAGTCGTATATGTCAGGTGTTTTGTTCCAGTGATGAAAGGCAGGCTGATATACACAGTTACCAAAACTAAATCTAAAGTTGTATAATACATTAAATTCCAATATTATTTATACTTACCAAATCTTTTTATTAATATCTGTTCTGTGTTCCAGAATCAAATCTAGGGTGCCACAGTACACTTGTCATTTGCGATAGTATTCCAGTGTGTTACAGTCTATGACCTTGATACTTTTGAGAGTAATGGTCAGAAAGTTTGCAGCATTCCTTAGTTTGAGTTTGATGTTTTATAATGATTATTAGCCAGAGATTATAAGTTTTGGAGAATACCACAATAATGATGTGCTATTCAATTCACATTATATAAAGAATTACTTAGTGTCTGCTAGGTTTCTCTACTGTAGGGTTAGTGGTATGCTTGTTAGAAGTTTCTAAAAACTATAGCCCCAAAACAATAGGAATTAATCTTTATATCCTAGAGAAAGGACTATCAAAAAATGTGTGATATGTGTTAAAACCACCATAGTAATTAGTAAATTTTGGAAGAATAGTTTGAGATGGCACCAGTAGCCAGTTTCTCATTAAAGTTTTATCCAATTTTAGTACGCATCCGTAGATCTTCCTTGAAACATTGAATCTTTCTGGTGGTGTTCTAATGGTGTGTCTGGATTTTTTTTTTTCCTCTTACCACACTTGCATTGATAATTGTAATAAACTTTGAAATTGAGTACTATAAAGATTCCAGTTTTTGTCTTTTAAGGAATTGTTTTGGCTATCCTAGTTCTTTGTTTTTGCTTGTATGTTTTAGAGTCAATTTGTTATATATGTAGAAAGCATATCAATATTTTGGTTGGAAGTGCCTTGAGTCCATAGATGAAGTAAGGGAGAATTGAGATATTAATAAATTTGAGTCTCCAAATCTATGACTATAAAATATCCTCTCCATTTATTTAGATTTTCTTTAATTTCTTTCAGACTGCACATGCTTGTTATATTTATACATAAGGACTTTGGGGCACATTTGTGTGTAAATGTATGAATACAGTTTTTGACATTCATATCCAGACTGATTGTGTATCCTGAAACCTTGCTAATTTTTAATTCTAATCGTTTTCATTACAGGTACTTTATGCTTTTTTTACATAGTTGTGTCACATGCAAATACAGCACAGTGTATGGTTCTTTTAAATATTGGTCTGTGAACTTAATGAGTTAACATTAGTTATTGAGACAGGTTTGCATTTCTTGGATGAATACCATATTATCATTGTAATACATTTCTGTAATTCAATTTTCTAAAATTTCATTAATGATTTTTCTGTATCTACTCACCAGAGCTATTGACCTATGGTTTTCTTCTAATGTATTTCCTTTGGAATTTTGGGTAATGTTAGCCTCATACTATGGATTGGGAAGTATTTCCTTTTCTTTTCTGGAAGTTGTATAGAATTAGTTTGCCAGCGAAAGCAGCAGGGTCTGAATATTTTTTTCAAAGCTTTTAAATGTTAATATATGGACAGGATAATTTCTTCAGTGAATTTGTTAATTTATGTTTTTTCAAGGAATTTACTTTTGTAGTAAAGATGGGAGGGAGGGAGCCTAGTGGAGTTTCTGCTTCTGTCATGGCCACCGTCATCCTTCAGGTCTGCACTATGGTAGATACTTGTTAGTGATCATGTGTGAGTGCCAGGTAGATGTTGTAGGCCATTCTGCATTCTGTGTTCACCAATTTGTCAACTGTTGTAGCTGAACTGTTCCATGTGGGCTTGTGTCACTTCTGGTTTGGTAGATTAAATTTGGGGCCATTTATGTCTTCTATAATCTCAGACTTTGTGTAAAGTTTAGTGCAGTTAGTCTTGCTTTTTTTTTTTCTTTTTCTTTTTTTTCTATAAACATGAAAGCAAAAGTTGTTCTGGCTTTCTACACCCTGAAGCAAAAGGCTCTGTTTTTTTACAACCGCAGTTCAAGTTGAAGATACATTATTCAGGCAAGAATAAATTTTGAGGAATATTCTGCCTTTTGTACATAAATGATTAACCCTAGAAGCATAAGGTAATGTGATGGTAAATAGCATACTAAACATTTACTGCGTAACATTTTAATAGCTTAATTTTTAGTAGTTTGAAAAATAGTATATTTGTTAAATATAATTCAAGTAAATTGGTGATTTGAGAGCTCCCAAAGCACTCTGTAAAACTCACTTGTTTAAAGAATATTTCATTTTGTAGATTTGAGCTATTAACAAATAAATTGAATACTGTGCTCTAAAAAATAGGAAGAGCTGCAGAACTGCAGTAGAATCTTGTAAGAATGAGTTCAAATAAGTTGGTTCATAGGTAAAATTTATCACTCATTAAGCCACAGAATGGCTTTATACTTAAACTTTCTGATTTCCAAAGACTTAAAATTGCATGTTAAACCTGCACAGATTAAAGTATGAAATTAAGCCCAAACTCCTATTAAGTATAAAATTATAAACTTTCTAGAAGAAAATGTAGGAAAGTATCTTGTGAACAAGGATGCAGAAAGGCTTCTTAAACACCTGTTCCACCTTACTTGCTGTTACCTATTTGGGATGAGCCATAATGCACACACACAAAAAAGGTGAGTGCAATTATCTCCCAATTACAGACTTTTTTAGAAAAGACACTGGACAAGTTTAAGAGATAAATGATAGGTTTGTATAGGATACATTTTAAGTGTAAAACTGATAGGACTCATTAGTTTTAGGTTATGCAGGAATTCCTTTATAATAACAAACTGGGGTTGTGGATAATCTATTGCTCTATAAAAATTACCCCAAAGTGTAATGATACAAAACAATAATTATCTCACCTTTTCACTGAGTCAGGGAATATGGGAGTAGCCTTATACTTAATATTTCTTCCTAGAGGAACTTTTCAAGTTGAGGCCACAAATACTCTTTGCTCCCAGCAGAGGGCAGCAGAACAGCACAAGATTTAAGCACAATAGGTTTTCAGTTTACCAAGCACCTATTCTACTTTATTTTAAGGTGATTGGTGAGCCTCAGTTAGGTATGGGTGTCTCAGTCCTCCATTTATTGAAGGGTGATGATACAT